AAAAAAAAACTGTAGAAAAACAAATGTAAACTTTTGAAATAAAGGAACAGGACACACAGGGTCTAATGTTAGGGTTCGCGTATTTAAGCCGGACTGCTGGCTAGAAGTCAGTTTGTATCCGGAAGGTCCTGAGACCGGCCAGCTCGACCAAGGTTTTCCGTGGTTTTCCTCGGTACTAGAGCAAATGCTGAGTTGGTACCCAATTCCACGTTGCACTGCATGCCTCACATGCAGCCCTCCCATTGTTAACATCAAAATTTCGCCTTAATATAGCCCTCCCAACGTTAGCAAAAACAAACAAACAAATATCCGATAATATGCTCTATCTTTACCAGGCGGACAAGCGGGCACTGCCTGGGAACCTTCAAAAATCGGAGATATAGTTTCTTCCTCCCCCCCCCCATGTAGTGTCTCTCACTACGACCACCACTTCTCTCTCTCTCTCTCTCTCTCTCTCTAGTTCAATTAGTTGAGTTGCAGTCAGAAGAATAGGAGGTTGGTGAGATAGCCGCCAGCCTGGGAGTTAGTGCAATTCAGTTAAGGGAAGTGAAGAGATTTTGGTGAATTATTGAGTTAGTCAGAGTATTGCAGTTCAGTCGTTGTGAGCTGTTGCTGTTAGAAGCGGTTAGCTGAGGCACTGTGATGGTATGGGAACCTAGAATAAGGGGAATGCCCGCAGTTGGAAGCCGTTACCAGACAACGAGTGGCGAAGACACATCATACTGAAAATACTTAGTGTGTGCTATAGTGAGTTGTAGAGTTTGTGAATTAGCGATAGCGCTATAATTACTTGTAGTTGCGTTCTGTAAGTGGTCAATAAATCCAATCACCATTCCGAACCCCGTCTACAGTCACACTCACACACGTGACAGTATTCTGTATTATATGTGTATGTACGTATGTATGTGCTTAGAGACGCGTTAGCATCAATGGATATTTGCGTGTGGCTCGCTTTCAAGGCGAAACCTTTCTTTAAGGAATCCACACTCCAAAATGTTAGAAAGGTCAACAAGAGCAATAATAAATGATCCTTTAAATGTTATAATAACAATAACGATATTATAATAATAATATGATGGTAAATTCAATATGAATACTACAAAAGCGGCGAATGAGGCCGGTTGGGACTGGCTGAAGAAAATCGCGTGATGATGACTTGTTCTGCTGTTTTCTACAGATCCTTTCCAATTTCAAGGCAGGCCCCAATATTCTTCTTAAATTTGATTTTCGTATTTATTACAGGGTCACTTCCAACCGTTTTCTTTACATTAACAGCCGCTGCAATTTCAGTACCTCAGCTTTTCTTGATTAATTTTTTTTTTGGGGGGGGGTTCATCTGGATCAGAATAGGAATCAGTGGTGGGTTCTTGTGAACACGGTAATGAAATTTCTGGTTCCACAGAATTCTGGGATAATGGCTGAGGCTCAGGGAGTTTGAGAATAGGGTGCTGAACAGAATATTTGGATGAAGTGACAGGAGATTGGAGAAAACTGCAGATGGAGGACCTTCATAACTTGTACTCTTCTCCAAATATAACTAGAATTATTAACTGAAGGCGGGTGAGATTGGCAGCTCATGTAGCAAGCATGGGGCGACGAGGAATGAACGTAGGATTTTGATGGAAAGGTCAGAAGAAAAGAGACAACTAGGAAGTCCTAGAAATAGGTGGGAGGATAATATTAAGATAGATCTTGGAGAGATAGCATGGAATGGTATGTACTGGATTGATCTGGTTCAGGGACCAGTGGCGGGCTCTTGTGAACACGGAAATAAACGTTCGGGTTCCATGAAAAGTAAGGAATTTCTAGGTTAGCTGAACGACTGTTTGCTTCTCGAGAAGGTCTCTATTCCAGTGAGCCTGTAGTTGGAGACAGACATATTTTAAAAATTAAAACTGAATGAAGCGCTAATATATTCCGCCGAAACGTTGGTACCCATGCACTAAACGTAGACAATATGGTGTCGGGGTTGAAGATGGGGGCAATATGTTTGACCAAAACGCTGATACAGACCTGCCAGACTATACGGTGCCATAACTCAGAAGACAGTAACATGAATTTTCACAGCTGTGAAGAACTTCAAATCACACTTCTCAGTGTTACGTCATTCATTTCAATCAATCAATGACATTCATCCTGTGTTGTCATGCAATCTCTGCAGTTGATATAGTGTCACTAAACCAACTACGTGTGACGCGAGGTATGTGGGAAATATGTTTGCTGTTTGAGCAGGTGGCAAATGGAAGATAAGTGAAAGGGTTTCAGCCGGTATGACTGCGTGATATGCGCATGCGCTCACTGTGCCAAAGAAATTCCGATACAGGAGCTTCACATTTTTTTTTTCCCCCTCCACAAGGGCGGCATTGCAAGCGTTGTAAATTAGTGCTTGACCTTGTCGCATAGTAACCATGACAACGAAACGTGTTGACACTAGATTATGGTTTTGTGTGTTATCATTTGTTTGTCCAGATCATCCGTATGGTCCATCTATTGCCCTGTCCAGTGACTACTGCGGATTCTTTCTCCGAGGGTAAAGCGGCCGGAGTGTGAAACTGGGAAGTCTCTTCACCTAGTACATACGTCAATAATGGATATATTTGGATACCCAAGGAGCCGAGGTAGCACAGTCGGTATAGCGACTGGCTACGGACTAGACGTCGGAATGGCTGGAGTTCGAGTCCTGGTAGTGGCAAAATTTTTCTCCTCTCTGCGTCGTCCAGAACGGTTCCCGGACTCACCCAGCCTCTTACCCAATGGGCACCGGGGGCTCTTTCTCCAGGGTTAAAGCGACTGTGTCATGAAACTGACCATTCACCTCCAACTGGTGTGCCGAGGTCAAGTATTCGTGGATCTATACAACCACTCCCCCATACGTCTACATGGTGTACTGCTTAATTAGTTAAGCACACGGACTTTACCTTTTATGTGGGTACCCACACGTCTTCGTGATGTGCTTAATTAAGTAAAGGGCTACTTTCCCCTTGCACAACCCTGATCCAACATCAACCCTTGTGGCAAATAGTCACAGGTATCTCGCTTATACCCCTTCTTAACAAACAACCCTCACATCAACCACGTTAATACCCACACACCATAACATAATATTTCGATACGATGATTGCCGATGTCACACGAATATTTCCGAATTCGTGTACATATGTATAACGTGTGGCGTGTTTACCAACATAAGATTTCCCCCTCCCCAGTTCTAAATTTTCTTACGCACACTATTGTATGAACTCGCGTGATCTCGTACCGCCTTGTGTGTCTTCTGATTGGTGGGGGCTTGGCGCATGTTATTATGCGATTGGTTGATGGTGATCTATTGTTCAGATGGTAGTGGTGGGGGAATGTGTCAGGGCACTGTGAATCCCGCAGAATCAGCTGCAGTCGAGTTCAGTAGCATTCAGCAGCCTCAGAAGGGAGTTGAGCGTGGAGGGAAGTGGTTGTGTTTTGTAAGCTAAATAGACAGTGACGTGTACTGCAAGTACGTGAATTTCCTAAGTCAAAGATATTCCAACAGTGAACACAGAACATTATTTCAGTGGTAACAGAAGGAGCCAGCAATGGCTATCCCATTTAATCTACCAACACAGCAAGACACAGAGGAAAATTATGACATACTAGATCAACTTCTCGAACAACTTTACGAAGTAATGCTAGAAATACTTCGTCAAAGAAGACTTCGAGATCAACTTTACGAAACAATGCTAGAAATACTTCGTCAAAGAAGAAGACTTCGAGACAGTCGTTCTGCAATACCAACAACCTTGATGCCACACAGTAAGTACTTTTTACTTACAAGTGATATTACTTTCTTGAATTGTCTGTGAATTTTTATGGCGTCTTGGTGGTCTGAAAGTTCATCACAAGTGAGATTTTGTGCGAGAAAGCAGTTCGTGGTTTGTTTTTATATGCTGTTAACAGACATGGCGCAATTAAGCTATGTACTAAACTGCTTCTCTAAAATTTAACAGCTATTTGTTCCTAAACAAAAATCTTAATATTTATCCTGACTTAGCGATAATTTTTCGAAATTTCGCCAAAAGTGGGACTTTGTGCGAGGAAGGATTTCATGCGCGAGTTCTGTGTTCTAACATGTTGAGACCTGTCGTTCTTATGCGCTCTGCTACGCCTACTGAGTGCGCCGGTCGACCCGTACACTGGGAACAATTCGAGAAACAACTGCTTTAACGAAAATTTGATATTGGGGAAAAATTTGCCGAGCCACTTAAATTTTTATTTAGATCTCAAATGGTTAACGACGAATTTACATGAATATCTGGGTACGTTTTTGCGCCTATGTCGTTAAAAAAGGGGGAAAAATGATCGTGCTTTTAAAATCTTGTTTGAATGTACATAAGACCTTCAGTTTTTTATGTCATTGAACTCGTGTGCATTGCGTAGGCAACCAGGTGTTGTAATCCTTGTGAAATGGACGTTAATAAGATGTGTTTTATACAGATTGAACAGTTATCTGTATGGAGATTCCCGGGTTAACTGACCTGTTTCAAGGTCTAACTAATTTGCAGTGTGCGGAGCACCATGAGAGTGATGCAACAAGTTTTAAGGCCGTATGTGGGTCAATGTGCGACATTGGAAGTGCTGCTGTAGATGTCACCACAGTTTCCGTGTTTCCGACTAAATGCATGAAGTGAACGCACACCGCGTAGCCTGTGACAGTTCAAGTGTTATGTCTCTTTAGAATTCCTATACGGATTTTGATTAAACTTGGCACCAAAGTCTACGCTAAACGCTATGGGAGTGTATTTAATTTTAGTTCAGTTTGTTCCAATATGAATCTTCCTTTACACCGAAATACAAATCGAACTGCAACGATTTTATAAACAAATATTAGTCACGTAGAATTTGCGCAAGACATAAAATGTAGCCCGAATAAAGATCTATAACATTTATTTGGAAAAAATATCCATTATATGAATATTTAAGGAGATATAAGGAGAATTAATTTCCGGCTGCGCTAACACAAACAGTAAGTACAGCACTGAAACAGAAAGGCTACTGAGCATGTGTAATACAGGATTTCGCTCAACTTGACCCTGAACTCTTTTCATTAAGTTAAATAAGCGGAAATAGAACAAATTCTTTTGTAGGAAGAACATTATAAGATGAATTTTAACAATTACTTTGTTTCCATATATGGTGTCATTCTGTCACTGAAAATTCCGAACTGAGCGAATTTTTTAAATGTATCGACTTAACATTTCGTGTCATTGATATGAGAATAGTGTTTATAAACGGAATATCTTATTTTTAGCATTTAAATTGTTTAACGGGGTACGTACTGGTTAATTTCAGGATAGACAGAGCTTAATCGACCAGTAATCCACTATGTTTCGTCATAACTCAAATCAAAGTCAAAGTCGCATTGCGACTGACGGTCAGTCAGTCAGTAAGTCTTGGTGTCGAGCCCCTTGTGGGGCTCATGATCAGATATTAATTATTACCGTTTGACAGTTACGGTCTTGTTTTGTTGGGCGCCCTCTCTGACGAGAGGACGGGTCTGTCTTCTGCCTATGCTGCTGGCCTTGCCAGCGCAGTCTTTCTCTGGTCAAAGTCCCTTGGGACTCGCGACCATATTTTACTGTCTCAGATTGACGGGACGTAAGTTTCGTTTTGAAGTAACGTTAACATAACAGTCTAGTATATAAGACCTGTTAGTGTTGCGTAATTCCTTCGTGATTCGCGAACTACTTAACGTGTTTCTAATTATATGTTTTCTAATCTCACCGTCATCTGTTAGTCGATTCTCTAAAAAGATGTGGGAGCCTCGATGTCTCACAACTGTATCGGCTTCCACGGCCTGTTAACGGATAGCTGTACTTTTTTGTTTTCTAAACATGAATAAAATAAATACGTACTTAACTTCCGGTGATATTTTCGATGGTCTGATAGAATGAGAAAACTTTGAAAGCTGATAGGAATTCTGAACACAAGCAGTCGCAGAAATGAAATGTGTGCTTACGCAGATGTTTAGCACATAAGCCTCAGATGATGGCCGTATAGGGCTGAAACATGTAAAGTATATTTTATTCAACAAATAAATTTTCCAAGTATTAACGCGTTACATTTCACGGTTATTATTGCTTCATCATACAGGATACTTGTAGCAGTAGACGAGAAATACGTTTCAGGTTGTCTGTTACGTAAATATTATTCTCTTGAGCCAAATAACAAGTTAATCCGCTGCTTTTGGACGCGCTGACATAACACTTGGCACACCAAGTAAGCTTATCCTCTAGACAATGACGCATCGCTTTCTACCACTTCCGGAACACTTTCAAAGCCAAGTTGCGTCACCAGCGTTTACTGTGTGAAGTTACCGAACACATTTCTTATCATTAGTTAAAGACATAATCTGTAAATTTGTTAAATTCAAAATTTCAGGTTATGTATCACGGTAGATAAGCAGTTCTCGACGTTTTGGCGTTAACGTCGTTGCTTTGGACTGGAATTAGAAAACAGTAATAAAACTTATGATAGTGGCTATAAGTGTACGTATATTATTAAATAATATAATTTATTAGCCAGATTTTCGTATTTTCAAGCAAAATAGAGGTTTACGAGATCGCCCTGCTGTTTGTGTGTCTGTGTATTCCCCTCTATTTTCTCCGTTTTCTTTGTGTTTCGTGTCGTATCGAAGGGAAGTAGGAAATCACCTCTTCCAAGAACTTTTTGTATGAAAATGTAAAATTACCATAAAACGGAAACACGAAAATTAATATTTTATTTCATATAACGATTCTTCTCGTCAGAACATCGCGGTGCGTTTGACAAAAAAAAAGGCAGCAAACAGTTTGAGAACCACTGCGCTAGAAGGAACAGACAAAATTAACAGAAAAATTTGATTGAGAAACGTCCGTGGGCGACGAACGGAGAAGCTACGGCGCGACAGAGGCTGGTGGGGTGACCCGGCGGGAGGTGACCGCTCCTTCGACCGTGAGCTGGCGTCCAACCAGCGGGCGGATGTTAGTGCCGGCTCCCTTTTCACTGACAAGCTTCTGTTGCTTAAATTTTGTCGTCTGTACGCGGTCCTCTCTGACGAGAGGGCTGACTGTCCCTTGTCAAAAGTCACGGTCAAATTATAGATAATACGTCTCTTTGTCAGCGGTCTCTGTCATTGTCGGATACATACAGTACATAATATGTACAATTCTGCATATACAATAGTACCTCGGACTTAATGCGTTCCCAAAAACGGAACGTAAGTCGAAAAAAGCCGTTAAGTCGAGTTCGTTATAACATGGGATGTATAAGGTTACGTTCACATATTTTAATCTCATCATCTCTGTAATTCTATTATTTTCTTATAAAATCAGTAAAGAGATATTGTTAAAGGAGTTACGATTCGATCCACCAGAGCATTACAACATGGCGTAAACCGAAAATTCTGACCGTAAGTCAAATGGGTCATTAATTTAATGGGTTCATACGTTCCGAAATTCGTTAAGTGGGGAAGACGTAGGTTAAGGGACGACTCATACACAATACATTAGTCATACATATGCAATATATACAATGTCTTTGTCAATCCAGGAGCTATGTAGCAGGTTATGCCTTATGTCACATAGCTTATGCCACAACGACAGTTTAGTTACCTGAACAGCCGTAAGTTTGATCATCGCCTGCTTTGCGAACGTTCCTGACCACCTGACGCTTAAGAGTGACAGGACCTCTCGAAAAATTTGAAGCATATCTGCTTGATTGAAGTAGCGCTGAAAAGAACACTTCAAAGCACAGTGGTTGCTATATGTACCACCTGTTTTTTAACATCGAGAAGTTCTGCACAGTATTCGTGTGCTTCGTACGGTTGTGAGAACAGACACTGTTATTTCCCTAACCTCACTAACCGGCTGATATTTATAATTGACGCAGAATGTTTTCTATGAGATAAACAGAATTTTAAAATCTTACTTGGATGAATGTTAGGCCTCAGATGTCATCTGTTGTGATAACTAATTCCATGTAGCTGATTCCTTCTTGAGAAGCCGCCAGTTGCACAGCTACTCAAGAATTTTATAACATTTTATGGAATCCGAAGGTTCATTACGGTGTTCACAAGAGCCATCCACCGGTCCCTATCCTGAGTCTGTCCAGTCCATACCGCCTCATCCTATCTCTCTAAAATTTGTTTTAATAACAGTTGTGGTATTTAATGTTTTAAGTTACAGGTGTGTTAATATACTCATGGGCCCTTATATGAATTATTGGCGCAGAGAATAGCAGTGTTCTGTACGCACTATTTTATCAGGCCTTTTCAGTTCTTGGTATACTCTAAAGTCTCGACAAATTTGTGTGGTTCACCTCTGACGTAACCTGTGCTTGTACACGACAATACAAGAAATATCACAGGAGAAAGAACTACCGAGGGTAAACAGTTTATAACAATTCTTCGCATCGATACGCCTGTCCGTGCAGTTAAACTGTGAGTCAGACATCGAACGTAACGCGAAGCAGCGTACGTTAAGGTGACGCGCGCGTTTTACGTCCTGTGCAAATTTGATAAGTGATGAAGGGGGGAAAAACGGAGATCAACGCTCGTGGCCAGACGAACGTGTTTCTAACCGCACTCCGTTCTCAAGGTCGCCCCCTGTACTCGACGAGCCGTGCTGCGTTGCACTTGCGTCTCTCTCTCACTCACTCTCTTTCTGGGATAAGTGTGACGAAAACAACCTGTGCACCGAGCTTACAACAGTTCTTTCAGTTTTCAAGCCTGGACACATTTTGGGCACTCTGTTTTAATATGGAGAATTTTATAGGCG